TGGATGAAAAAGTATTAAGAAAGAAAAAAAAAAAAGAAAAAACAAGAAAAAAATAAGAAATAATTGTAAAAAAATATTTGAGTACTTCATCGTTTTTTTTTTGTTTTGAAAAATAACATTTTGAAATCTAAACGAATATTTTACATTTTAAGATAAGTCATCAGAATATGAAAATTTCCGATTAAGTAATTACTAATTAATAATTAAACGTTTATTAAAAATGGTTTATAATGGAAACGTAAGAAACGTTTCGAGATTAAGAACGAATTTCGACTTTATCGAGTTAATTGCTTATGGCGTGATAGAAGAAAATATTACAGGGATTTCCCTTTGTATCTCAAAATGTACAGTACTTGGATTTTCCCAACGAGAAACAGATGAGAACGCCTGGAAGCTAACAAACTTCTCTTCGAAAGGACTTGAGAAAATCGCGCTACGAAGGATTTTATCGGATTACGAAAGCGAGTCCACTCAAGTCTCTTTCGAAGTTATTCGACTTTGTCCTTTAAGTTACAAAAGGTATGTATGGACGGTGGGGGTGAAGGGGTGGCGGGGAGAAACGCAGAAGGCAGAGAGAAATGAGGGAAGGAAGAAGCAAGAACTGTAAATGATTTCGTTTGTCGAATTCCTTTTCTTAAAACAATCGAGAGATAAACCGACGATTCTTGTCGATAGAATAATCCCGTTAAAAAAGTAACTCCTTACGTTTCCAAATTTCGTGCTTTTCTGAGATTCTTGTCCGACAATTTTCAATTTATCGATAAATTTCGTTGCGTGCGTATTGCGATTGTAAATTACGAGTAAAATCATCGAGCAAAATGTTTAAACGTTAACAAAAACATGTTTTAAAATTTAAGGGAACCGAAGGATGAACGATGTTAATCAAAAAAAAAAAATTACTTAGAAAAATAAAATGTATCGAATCAATCTCGACAAAGTAAACATCGTTAAATGATTGAATGCAAGGAAACATACGTAATTTAAGAATGTGTAAGGAAATTTACACGGAAAGTTAGATTAGGGGGAGAAAGAGAGAGAGAGAGAGAGAGAGAGGGAGAGAGAGAGAGAGAGAGAGATACTGTACAAAATGGCGTCGAGAGCTGGTAGAATCCGGATAAACGATGGAAGCGGGAAGAAAGGGAGGGGAGAAGGATAACCGGATGTTACAGAAGCAGCAGTAGCAATAGCTTTGGAACATTTTTCCAGAAACGAAATGTCAGGAACGTGACGCGTCGCGATAAAGAAGAAGGAGAGAGGGAAAGGGGGAGAAAGAAACCGTAGTAATTAAGATCAATCGATATCGAGCGATTCGTTCATTGATTGATCTATCGATCGATCGAGATTAAGTTCTGTCGAAGGAGTTCACTGTGGACCGCGAGATAGGTGGACGCTGGGATGGAGCGAGGTGAGGAGGGATAAGGAAAGGTGCGGGTGGAGACGAGTTTCTTTCCTCCTGTTCTCTCACAATGGACCGTTATTCGAGTTCGCTCACACTCATAGAAAACTCGTATTCGAGTGTATATGAGTATATCTAAGTTCGTGTATCGTGCTTCGACGCAGAAGGATTATTGTACTTGTTAGGGGAAAAGGAGGAATAAAAAAGGTTTTGAGGAGGGTTAAAGCTGGTGGTTGAACCAAGGAGCGTTTGAAAATCGCGATGGATGAGAGAAGGAAAGATAAAAGATTTCTCGTCTTACTTTTTTTTTCTTTTTCCTTTCTCTCTCTCTCTCTCTCTCTCTCTCTCTCTCTCTCTCTCTCTCTCTCTCTCTCTCTCTCTCTCTCTCTCTCTCTCTCTCTTTATCTATCTATTTTCTGCAGCTGCACGCGGGGATGCAGATGCAATCGTTTCTATCTTCTTTTATTTTTCTACGGAGATAACGAAAAAGGGTTCAAGATCGAGAACGATCGATCGATCGAATTATAGAAAACGGTCTTTTTTTTTTTTCAAAAAGCTTTTAATAGAAATCGTAAAGAAGAAACGACGTAATTTCTTATTTTATCTTTGTATTTGCTTTTTTCTTTTACTTTGTCTTTTTTGGATTGTCCATCACTCTCCTGTTCTCTTTCTATTTTTATTTCGTAAGTAAGTCAGTAATAATCGAACAATGAAATTTTAATCCATAAAATATTTATACGGGGTTTTTTTTTTTTATAAATAAGTGATTACGTTTTTAATCTGCGTTACTACTATAAATAAATGATTATTTTTTCTGAATTTGTCGATTATTTATAGTGCATATAAGGATAATAATAATAATTAGGTTTAATATAAATAAGAAAGAGTTTCTCAGAGTATGATACGGTAGTATCTTCGTAGGTAATGACGGTGTTGTGTTGGTAACACGCTTTGAACGGTGATAATTAGCGAGAGACTCGTGTCGGTCTCGTGAAAGCTAACCTAGCGTAAAGATTCCTCGCTGTTCATTCATGATTACCGCTGTTGTGTAATAATCAAGTACGGCACGTGCCACAACGGGAAATCTCGGCGTAGCATCTTACCTGTCAATAAAATCTATGATCTTTCACGATAAAATCGCGATCTTTGATTTATCGCAAGCTTTTACGTCCTATCCAACGATTTTGGGTCGTCCGTCTCCGACTCGTTTTCATATGGAAATTAATCTATCTATAAGATATTAACCTTTATAAGTTATTTAACAAACAAATAAGAAAAAAGAGTATATTAATGCTATAACGAAGTGAAATTTCATTAGATTTTATAATAGATATAATATTACGTTTTATTTTCATAAATGATAAGACAATGTAATTCAATTAAAAGTTTCTTACTATTTGA